CATCCCTGCTTTGCACCTCAGTGTTGCTGTTTCTTGGGTTTGCTTTCTCACACTTGAAATATGAAAATAATATTGATACCACCCCGTTTATTCCATCTCCTCCTTCATGGTTGATAACTTTTTTAAAAAGGAATTATTCAATTGTGCAATTATGTAACCATGCTATTATGGGACCATCCTCACTCTTCACCTAGATTGGGAAGATGAGCATACACCATGCCCCTTCCACCATTTTGGTCCATGCTTTCCTTCCTCAAAACAGGGCTTGCTTGGTTCTGCCTCTGGAACTCCATTCCATGGGAGGCTAGGCTGGCTTCCTCCCTGCTTTCCTTTTCCTGGCAAGTGAAGACATTTTTATTTAAGCAGCCTTTTAATGGGTAAACAAGGAAGGTTCTTATTGAGATGCATATTTTATTGATTAATTTTTGTATGGATTTTAAATGATTTTATATCATATAATGTGGAATTTTTTATTTTTTTAAAAATGTAGATTTTTAAAAACTGATCCTCTTAGGAAGCACTTGAATACTAGTGCTCTGTAATACTTAATACTAAGATTTAAAATGTCTTTCCTCATTTTTTTTAAAAGAACCAGTAGTTGATTTTCCAGGCTTGCAGTGAGCCACTAGATGGCATAGGATCCTCTCTAACCCATCTGTGATGCTAAATTCAGGAGCCTTGTAGGAAGAGAACAAGTGTAAGTGTGTAGTAGGAACTTTTGTGATGGATGCAAGTGGCTTCCAGGCTGCTGAAAGTGACCATAGAGACTCCCCTGTTCCTTGCAGTTAACATTTTGGGGACAAACTCTTATACACAGTTGAATAGTCAAAATACGAATGGAAATACCCACTTGGCTCCAGGTGAATTACTTCCTGCCTTTTTATACCACGTTTTGATATTGCATATAGCATTAAAATCCAGCCTGGACTATTTCAAATAAAACCAAACATGGAAAAATTAGCTAATACTTAATGTGTGTGCATGTGAGTACATGTATGTGTGTATTTGGGTTGCCAGACATCCCTTACTGTAAGAGTTGCCAGAGTGAAAAACCCTGTCCCTTGAATGGTTGCACAAAGAGGGAATTTCAGCAAGTGCTCTTTGTCTTACAACCAGCAGCACCTGCTGAAATTTCCTCTTCTATGCAACCATTAAAGATACAGGAGTCCTCTCCAGTTTTTGCTCAGAGAGACCTACTAAGGAATGCCCCTTATTTATGGACTGGAACTCTTATTCTGTATGAACATTAAAATGAACACCAAAAGCATATGGGCATGTATATGTATATGTATATATATGAGCTTTGAAGATGTTTAAGATTATAGTAAATATATTACACGGAAATTATCATAGGATTTAGGATTTAGGAATATCAATTAAGGAAGTTATAGGAGAGATTACTGTTATAATTGATTTAAAATATATTTGATTTAAAATATTAGAACATTTAAATAGTGAATGTTTTGAATAGTAGAGTAAATTTTTACACCGAAAAGATTGTTATGTTCCGGGATGTTTGATTAAATTCAAGTAGAGGTCTAAGTATAAGGAAAGATCTGTTAATCCCTTGCTTTGATCATGGAAGATCTTTGTGTGTATGTTTCTATGTTAGTGTCTCAGTCTTTGTAATTGTATTATTATTTGTCTGTGTTTATATGTTTCTTTGTTTTTTAAATTTTCTAATAAACTTAAAAAAAATGAACACCAAAAGTCCTGTATTTGGGGGTATAGGACCAATTTGCAACTCTCAGATTATACACCAAATGCTGCAGGGAGGGAGGCTGTTGCAAGTGCAGCTGGTGCTCACTTTTCCCACTCCAGGCTTAGCAGTGTGCTTGTCCAGATGGATGGAAAATCCCTCCCTTCACGATGGCTGCTGGGCTGCCAAATCAGTATTTTCAAGGCTTTGAGTGTTCCTGTAGGATTGGAGATCTCACAGGATCCTGGAATGCTCACAAGAGGCCTTTCTCTTGCAAGATTTGAGGTGGGATTTTCCAACCCTTTTTCCACCAAATGTGAGGGTTTCTTCATTAGAAATCCTTCCTTTGCAACCAACTCTGGAGGTTCCTCTCAGGAAATCCCACCACTGTGGCCAAATATGGGGTTTCTATTCCTAAACCTACCAAATGTGAAGACTTCCACGGTGCTTGGTGCCATGCTCTACTTCCAAGATTCTGCCATATCCTCAGAGTCTGAAATCTCTGATGGAGAATCTGAGAGCCCAGGGGACATGCCAGGGCTGCAGAATCTCCAGCAGCACCAGGAGGAGATCCTGCAACCAGCATAGGTGCCAAGTTCCCAGCAGCCACAAGAGCAAGGTTCTTTGCAGCTACAACCCTCAGAGCAGAGTTCTCTGCAGCTACAACTGTCAAGAGGAGAGCCAAACTTACCAGCTCCTATCCCCATGGAGAGATGCTGGGAGAGAGAAAAATTCCAGTGCTTCAGAGTTTAAATAAGAAACATACTGCAAATAAGGAGCACCTGTGAGACCCAGATACTATAAATATCCCAGCACCTCCCTTGGTCCAGTCTGGCTGACAACCATCCATCTTGCTTGGGAGAAAGCTATGCTGGTGCTTTGTTCCTTAATTGACTGCCTGTTGCTTTGAACTCTGCCTGGACTCTTGACCTTCCATATTACCCTTCGGACTGTTTTCCTGAACTGAATACTGACTTGTGAAGGACCTGGACTGGAATAGAC